AGAGGGCCCCTTTTTCCCCAGCAGGGCTTAGATCAATTTTTCTAGTAATATTTTGCAGTAATGGGAAAATATCTACAGAGCAGTACATTTTCCAAATTGTTGCTCTGTGATGGCTGATATTTGCTTTGTGTCTTTTGGTCTACATTCATCACAGGTATAGCACTTGCTCAATAGGGGGGAGGGAGGTAATCCATTCCCTTGCACATTAGGAATTGTCTATGTTTTAGTTAAATAATTGTATCTGGTAGTTATACTTTTTGTAAATGAAAAATAGAAGAATATCTTGAGGTTCAATTCTTCAGAAAAACTAAATAACCTTTCCTGGTTTTACTGCATATAAACAGCATGGTATCAAATAAAGTATATCAGCAATTCAGATGAAGGCAGAGTGAGAATTGGTGGAAAAAACAACAATATTTTAAGACATGCAGATGACACTGGCAGAAAGCAGCAGTGACTTGAAATGACTCTTGATGAAGGTGAAAGAAGAATATGCAGGACCAGCTGAACACTAGAAAGACAAAGAACATAACTACAAAAGAACAATATAATTTTAATGTGGACAATGAAGAAAAATTGACATGGTTAAAGGTTTTCTATACCTCTATTCGGTCATCAAACCAAATGGAGAAATCAGAATAAGACTTGAGAGGGCAGCTATGAAGAACAAGACAATAATAATCTTCAAATTGTGGAGCTCGAAAGGACCCTATGGATCATAGGGTCCAGCCCCTGTCAAGGGGACACAGTGAAGACTCAAACTCCCAACCTCTAAACCACTGAGCTATCCAGAATTTCAACTGTAAGGATGTGTCGTAGGGCAGTGGTCCCCAACCTTGGGCCTCCAGATGTTCTTATTTATTTGTTTGTTTGTTTGTTTATTCTATTTTTACCCCGCCCCTCTAGACAACGTCTACTCGGGGCGGCTTATATCAGTTAAAACAAGTTAAAAAACATATAAAATGCATTTATGCTAATTAGTTCTAGACTTCAACTCCCAGAAATCTTGGCCAGCAGAGGTGGTGGTGAAGGCTTCTGGGAGTTGCAGTCCAAGAACATCTGGAGGCCCAAGGTTGGGGAACACTGTCGTAGGGGACCAAGGTCAAGAACATCAACACAATTGCATTTCCAGTTACTATGTACAGATATGAAAGTTGGATAGTAAAAAAAGTTGACAAAAAAAGATCTATTCAATCAAAATACAGTGCTGAAAGAGAACTTTGTGGATACCCTGTCCGCCAGAAAGACAGATAAGTGGGTCATAGACCAAATCAAGTCTGAACTGTCTCTAGAAGCAAAACTGACAAAGCTGTTATACTCAGGGGACTTGCTGCAAGACAACAATGCTAAGAAACTTGAGGCAGCAGGACAAGAGGAATAACAAACATGAAGCAGATTGACTTCATAAAGGAAGCAGGCTTAAGTGAGCAAGGTTGAAGCAGATTGACTTCATAAAGGAAGCAGCAGGCATAAGTGAGCAAGGCTGTAAAAGAGAGGTCATTCCGGAAGTCACTCATTCATAGTGTTGCTGTAAATTGAGAGGTGACTTTGACAGCACCTAACAAAAACACACCAGTGAACCCATTTAACACACCACAAATCACTTCAGAGTGAAGATGCACAGAACAAGGCTGAAGTCCTAAATATACTAGGACACATGTGTTTAGTAAAAATTGGGAATGTGCATTCGGATTTGGAAATATTCCAAATTACGGTAATCAAATAATGCCATTTTAGGATAGTTCTCATTATATCCAAATCTGAATTTGATACAGTAGATCTGATTAGTTAGTTAGTTCCATTTGTATACTGTCCCTTAATGCACAAACTTTCTGGGCTGTTTATAACACATTAAAAACACAAATAAAGACAACAAATATCCAACAATTAATACTGTACTTAAATAGATAAAATTCTGTTCCTAGTTAAAACCTAACTTTCCATAAAATTAAACAGATTAAAACAGATCTATGCATCTCAGGTAATTAATGAAAGGTGGCTTTGAATAATACAGTTTCTACCAATTTTTTTTCAAAAACAGGGAGGGAAGGTGCCTGATGAGCCTCTGTTGGAGGTTTATTCCAAGGGGAAGGAGCCACCATTGAAAAGGCCCAGTTCCTTGTATTGACTCTTTTGGTTCTTCTTCAACGTTGTCAATTTTAGCATCATGGACTGTGAGGAGCAGGTGGGAGAGACATTTTAACAAATATCAAGGTCATAAACTGCCTCCCAGAGTAATAGCTTTGCTACTAGTTGTGCAAGATAAACAAACAAACAAAGGCTTTATGTACGTCATGGCCAGCAGCTTGAACTAGGTATGGAAACTAACAAGGAAACAATGAAGGCATGCCAAGACCACCACCACCACCCCCCCAATATTCATGGGATATTGGTTCCAAGGCCCAACCCACAGATAGTAAATAACATGGAATGCTGTGTTATGCAGAACTTTATACATAGCATGCTCTCTGGCTCCCTCTACTGGCCAGTTCTGGTATCTTAATTGTTAAAATTTTTATACAGTATACAGTTGTGACGTTTGCCACTCCTGGCCCCTGCTTGTCTCCCCAAACACAAGCTCAAAAAGGCAAACCAAAATACCTTTTGACACGCTGCCACCAGTTGATCTCCTTATCAACGTACTTTACTTAGGAAAGAAGAAGGTCCATTCAGTACTGACTTATTAATAAAACAGGTTTACTGATTACAGATGGTTTCTAGGATAATTCATAAGCATCTTCTTAGTTTCACCAAGCATCCATATTAATCTTCTATATTAAATATCACAGGTTACTAATCACTCCTCAGACTAAACACTCCTCAGACCCCAAACTATCCTTCTGTCAGATTCCTAACACAGACTTCCTCTCCTCTCAGGCTCTGCCTTTTTAACATCTCTCTCAGCTCCGCCTCTCAACCACATTAGCATATAACATGAATAACACATGACTTATTACCTAACAAAGAGTGAACGCTACAACAGTATGTTGGATTTTTCTTTTAATATTGTTAATCTTTTCAGACCGTGGATAAATGAATCAGCAGATACTGATCCCATGGATAAGGGGGTCCTATTATACAGTACTTGTTTTCAATCTGGCCACTACATTTTGGACCTGCTGAAGTCTCTGTACTAACTTTATGGGCAGCCCTACATAAAAATGTTATAGTAATCTATAGTGCATGAACCTGTTGCAGAGTTTTGAATTTCTGGTTAAAATTCATTGTGCTACACAACAGAAGTACACAGACTTGCAGAAGAGAATAGCTTCAAGTTTCCCAGATAACTCATTCATTTTTCTACATTTCTAGCAGAAAGAACAAAAACATTTCTTTACGTAGAGTTGTTTGAGGTTACAGACTTGTATATGCTTTCTGTACTACACACATGCTAACAACCAACTGAACAGATCAACAGCAAGTAAACTGCCGCCAACAGACTAAAGAGAGGGAAAGTAAAACTCAGCAGTAAAATGGGGCTCTCTTTGAATTTAGAGGCTGGAAGGAACAACTGGTTAGTGCTAGGAAGATAGACAATCAATTCCGCACAGAAAAATCACCCCCAGTCACACAAACTAGAGATGGCATGCGAGATTGCAAACAAATCTCCCAACAAAATTAGCAGAAGAAAGCTGGTTCAGGGGAAACTTTCAATATAGCACTGGCCTACTGAAGTCACAAGGAAGAAAAAAGATACAGCAGACTATGCCATTTTAACAATTTCAAAGGATTTTGTCAAGCTTATGGAAGATATATTTTGAACCATTTCATAAAGAAATGCTGATTCCTTAAAAGAGAATAGAAGTGGGCAGTGTGGACAGAAATCCCACCAAAATGTGGGCATTAGCAGCACTAGGTGGCACCAACCAGCAGGAGGGAACGAACAAACACTCCATGTGGACAAGCCCTAAGTTTTCGAGTGTATAAACCTGGGATTAGCCCATAAAGCAGAGTTCAGAAACATGTGGCCTTCCAGATACTGGTGGACTGTGACTCTCATCATTCTTCACCATAAACTATGCAGGCACTTGCAGGCCAACACAACATGGAGGGCCAGATCTCCCCAACCTGCTGCAAAGTGAACGTGTAGGACAGAAGGTTGCTTTAATTTGAAGAGCACTCAACATCAATACTGAAGCATTTCCAGAAACAAGACATCAATAGAAGAGCAGCATGTTGAAGGCAACTGGGTATCCATTCTTCCAGTCTTCTACTCATGCACAAGACATGGTGATGCTTAACAAATGACACTGGAATCAGAGAGCCTCCATTTCAAGCAGACATTTTTGGCATTGCATTATTCATACAGTTTTAGGCTGACAGATATTACTTGGTTATTCTGTTTCATTTTTATTTTCATTTTCCAGAGCAGCATGTTGAAGGCAACTGGGTATCCATTCTTCCAGTCTTCTACTCATGCACAAGACATGGTGATGCTTAACAAATGACACTGGAATCAGAGAGCCTCCATTTCAAGCAGACATTTTTGGCATTGCATTATTCATACAGTTTTAGGCTGACAGATATTACTTGGTTATTCTGTTTCATTTTTATTTTCATTTTCCAATGGTTAATTTTTAGGCTGACAGATATTACTTGGTTATTATATTTCATTTTTATTTTCATGGTTAATCTTTAATCAAGAACAGAAAATGACATTCGTAGACAGATGCAGGTGGCCTTTAGGCTAAAGCCTTTGGAAGGAATTATATGTTACCTATGCAGACACAGTTTTTAAAAAGCACAGAGTGCTTTTTCTGAAAGCAAAGCTGCTTTAATGGGCATTTCAAAAGATCATTTCTGATTCAAAGAAGGTATTGCACTCTTTGCAAGGATGCACATGGAGCTCATTTCTTGAGGCTGTTAGCATATAGGTAATACATAATGGACAGAATGAACTAAACGTTTAAGACACACAGACAGCCTAGGAAGGTAATATTAAGAGGCACAATGTCCATGTTGCTAAGGTAACTGTGACATGTCTTCCATTGTGACATTTCCCTCTGTGGATTCACCTCTTAGATAGCCAGAGGCCTTGTGCGAGAGAGTAGGTATTTTGTCGGCATTTTCCATAATAATGCATTGCTATCTATTTCACCTAAACACCATTGTGTACTAAGATAGGAAGTTTCTTTCACCCTGTGACATCTATATAAGAAAGGTCTTTTTTATTTTTTTATTATATAACAGACAAACAATACATACAAAACATACACACAGGGAAGTGTTTACCATAGTACAATATCTAATATATAATCTTGACTCCATAACTGTGTTACAGTACTAAATCTTTAAACTATGTTATATTCTCTATCATGTTTATTTCTAGGCTCAATCATAGAATAAGTCATGTGTTATTCATATTTTCAGTTTTCTTTAACATAACTTCTCAAATTCTTAGATAATACTGTATCTCTAACAAGCTATCCCATTTTAAGCCCAGATCAACCTTGTAAATATAAATATTTATAACCACGTGTTTACTCTCTCTCTCTCTCAGCAAGAGCATTTCTAGTTTAAAGATTGTATATACTTACGTAATTTCTTATATAAAATCTTTTTTATCTATCTCCAAAATTATTTTACTCTGTCATTTTAGATAAGAAAGGTCTTTAAGATGCCACAAAATGTATTAGACTTATAAACAACTGCTCCCAATCTCAAAAAAGCTAATTTTGTTCCAAGTGAGGAACAAAAGGTGTTGGGGAAAGTCTAGAAACCTTGGTTAAATGACTCTGTGACCCTAATGCTCACAATATGTAGGTACCTTGGACTGGTACCTTACTTCTGTAAGAAGTGGTGTACCAGTGCATGATACCAAAAATGAGCTTAGGAAACTGCTTCATACTGAGTCAGACCCCTGGTCCAACCAGCCCTATATGGTCAACACTGATCAGCAGAAACTCTCTGGGATTTCAAGCATGATTCTTTCCTATCCTGACCTGGAGATCTCCAGTATCCATGCCTTGTACATCCCCTTCAAAAAATCAGCAGGCCCAACCCTAGCTAACTGCTGGAATTAGGTGCGATCAGGGTAATAATGGTGAAATAATCAGGTGCCGGGTAAAACAGCTTGAGAGCTGTGTTTCCTCACAGCACAGATTGGTCCTGGAGAGGGACTCGCTGAATCCTTTTCTTTTCTAGCCCTTGACCAGGTGACTGGGAGCAAAACTTCCTCACAGCACATCTTGGAGTGGGACAGAGAAAGAGGGAAACCATATCCAATCGGAAATGTAAGTGGCATTTTTCAGTTGCTTCAGCATTCTTGTTCTGCTTCTGTCCATGGTGAACACAGTCCTAGGGAACATTGTCATCGCTTCACACAGCAGAGGTCCTTTCCAAATGTTATTCTGGCAGCCATATTCAGTGCTTCGCATAAAACAAAAAGGAGCTCCCCTTCTCTTTGTGTCATTCATGGCATTCCACATGTTGTTGAGTCCATGCAAAGGAAGGTCCTTCGAATACGATCTGAGCTCACAGGGAGCCTATGTTATGACAGGAGCAGAGGAACACGCAGACCTGTAGGTGTCGTTGGACTACAATACTCGTCATTCCTAGCCAGTATACCTAATGGTGATGGATTATGAGAGGTGTATTTCAACAGCATCTGGGGCGGGGGGACATATTACCCTGCCTTATGGTAATCTGGGCCCAAACCATCAAGGACAACCTTCCCTAACCTGTTACTCTTTGCGTTTGTTGGATTACAACTCCCAGAATTCACCTAGGTAAATTATCTTCCAGTTACCACAGCTTCAATTCACTAAACACAAAAAATCTCCATTACTAGATCTTTCATTTCCTTTTACAATTTTCTACTTAGACAATAGTTGCTCTGTATGTGCTGGCTGGATAGAGCCATGGTTTTGATATCTGGCTGCAGAGCCAAAGGTTGGGGCTTCAATTCCCCACTGCGCCTCCCAAGAGAAGAGCCAGCCTGTGTGGCCTTGGGGAAGCTGCACAGTCCCAGGACATCCCCAGAAGAAGAGAACAGTCAACCACTTCTGAATATTCTCTACCAGGAAAATCCTGGAAAGGGACACAATAAATCAGAATTGAATTGATGACACATGAACATTATTATTATTATTCTCAACAAGGAATGTATTGAGATGTAGTTCTAGCATTAAAAATCTTTGTCAAAATGTTAACAAAAATAACTCCTAGGAATATATTTTCTTCACACAATGTTCTGATGGCCAATCCAGTAATATAAGGAAGGCATGAAGTGAAGCGGGTAGATAGCAATGCCTGGATGGTGCTACTTCCCAGGCCCGATAAACTTTCCTGATGTCTGCCTAGAAACAGAGCACCACTATGCATGTTTGCTCAAAAGCATCCCCTGTGTTCAGCAGGATTCACTCCCAATTAAATGTGTATGAGATGTATAATGAAAACAAAAAATGAAGCATTGTGGCACTTTAAAGACCAGCAGATTTATTTCACTGTGAACATTTGTACAATACAATCCACGTTTTCAGAAAACAACAGGCTACCGATCTAAATCCATTAGCCTGTGAAAAAGCATCAGTGATCTGAGAGGGATTCACTTCTGAGTAGACACCAGGTTGCACTGTTTGCACCTTTTTTTGGTGCCAGGCAAAGGCAGGGTGATATCTCCAAGCTTATGAGATATAGTTTTAATCCTGTTGATGTTTACATATACAGTATTACTTTGCGGCGCTATTGTTGGTTGTGCAGCATGCGCGTGCATATATACCTATGCATATATATGTATTTGCCCTCTGCCAGAGCGAGTTTCAGTGCATTCTCCTGAAGTACAGCACAGAATTCCGAGCACCTCACCAAACTAGAAGTCCCAGGATTACACCAGGGTGGAGCCATAGTATCAAACTGCTAAAACTGTCTCATGTAGAGATACTCTGTTGGCTTATCACATCATCAGAGAACATCCAAAGCCTGCAAACATTACATTTTGGGACATTGACTCTTACAGTTTCTGGAAGTGGTAGTCCACTGGGGATTAAAAAAAAGTTTTCTGGCATCATTAGAAAGAAAATGAGCCTTTTAAAGGTGAAAGGCAGGGTAAAAATATTTTAAATCAATCATCCCTCCATCCATCAATAAAATTCAGAACAATAGCCACCCTTCCAGCTTCAACTATGGCATCTTGGAAGGAGTTTAAAATGTACCAACTAGTAGTCCCCAACATAATCTCCATCCATAGTAATTCAGAAGTAAACGCTGAGATAAATTTAACTTAAATTTAAATAATCTCCATCCATAGTAATGTAACCTCCAAGCGACTCCCCAATGATTTGCCCACTCCTCTAGTTTGCAACTTATGAGTAGTACAACAAATCTGAGCTGGCTTCCCTGGGTTCAGCAAAATCTTTTCCCTGACCCTGCCATTTCTCACCTTGCCCTGCTGGAGGATAGAGGTGACTAGAAAAGAGGGTTAGAAGTCACAATTCCCCACCAGCAGATACTAATCGAAGATTAAAATGATTTTATTTAAATTCTGTTTAAAATTTAAAATTTTAATAAGATTTAAATGATAAAATGATGGCAATTTTAATTGTATTTTAATCATTTTATATTTTATTGTATTTTAATTGAATTTTAATTGTTGTAAGCCGCCCAGAAACCTTTGGGTATAGTGGGCGGCATATAAGTTAAATAAATAAATAAATAGTGTGGAAGCCCTATGAGACTGGCGTTAGAGATTATGCTTTAGTTCATTTAGATGTTAAGCGTTACCAGGTTCAACAGTGGTATCATTGCAAGGAAGAAGTAAAAGAATGAAACTCCATAAGACGCACAGACTTTCCACCACCCCCTGTTTTGTGGGGGGAAAGTGCGTCTTATGGTGCGAAAAATACGGTAAATAGTGTGGAAGCCCTATGAGACTGGTGTTAGAGATTATGCTTTAGTTCATTTAGATGTTAAATGTTACCAGGTTCAACAGTGGTATCATTGCAAGGAAGAAGTAAAAGAATGAAACAGGCATTGGTCAGCTCCACTGTGTGTCTCACTAAATTGCCTGTTCATCCCATGGGACGGCCTCAATTTCTAATGGGTTGTTTGTGAGACAGCAGAGCTTTGTTTCTAGGTCTGACCTCTCAGACAGGGAGCACAGAAAGGTTTACATGCCTGGAAGGATGCCATTTTAAGAAGAGCAAACAAGTGTGTGCTCTAATACGATCTGACCCTCAGCTTTGGCTGTGACTTCGTTTTCCACTGGCCACTCTGCTCAATCACCAATGAGAATTCTCCCACACTCTTGACCTTCCAGTATGAAAGGCCAGCAGTGAGGGTTGAGGGAATCTCCTGGCAGGAGATGTGGCTGAGGGAGGAGAGAGGGACAAGAGCTTTCCCTCCCCTGTTCTGCAAGGTACCCATAACAGGGAATTAATATTAAGCCTAGAAATTTAAGGTGGTCCATAGCTGACAGAGCCCACACAAAACAAGAAAATATTGCAAAAGCCCACTTCTTCCCTTCTTCCCACCCTTTTCTAGGTTGGAGAGGCTTCGGATCCTCATTCAAAATAGGAATGCCACCGTTGGGTCCCCAGAAGAGGGTAAGAGCTGTGGACCAGAAAGGGGCCCTGCGGTGTCTTCAAGTTCCTTACCCAAGTGTGGGCAGAGCACAAGCTTTTGCAGGACACAGACCATCATCCAGGAATCCAAAGGTCAGAGCAAAACACCTTCAAAACTCTGGGGCTTCAGTTTCTGCAGAGCAAACAAGGAAGTTTCCATCGGAGATGGGGAGAAGGTACGGGCCCTCTGGGACTGCTGCAAGAACTGTAAAATTAGCCCCCACAGCTCTAAACCTCCAGAGGGAAAGCCCCCACTCCCGCCGCCGCTGCCACCACCACCCCAGCTGGGTTCCAGACCTAACAGGCTCGAGGCCCATAGTTGGATGACTCATCACTCCGCCACACTGAGCAACATCACCGCGGATAGCAGTGCGTTATCTGACACTGCAGGTAAGCAAAGAGGTGCCTCTGGGACTCAAGGGGCATTGTCTGGACAGGAGGGAAAAGCTGGCCAATGGAATAAGATCAGGGTTTAGAAAGTTACTTTGAAAAAGTTATCACTCACCAGTTTCAGTCCCAAGGCCAAGAAAGCAGTTGGTTCAAATTGTCCATGCATTAAAAAGAAAATTCTTTAGTTTTCCATACTTAAAAGTATCTAAATAAGTTACTTTTGATAGTTCTTTTTTAAAAAATCAAGCTGGCTGCTGGCCAGGGGTACAAAATACAGCTACAATCTGAAGCCACACAAACCTGACATCCACAGACACTACAGTTACACTGAAAAAGAAGTGAAATTCTCCCTTCTTATATTATAATGCAATGTGGGATACAATCACATGGGGAAATAGTTCATATTTTGGTTGGCTTGCGGAGCAGTTGGGTGTGGGGGAACAGAACAGGACCCTACAGGACCTCACAGGCCAATGGCCAGGGTGCCACACAGCAGAGTCCCCCAGCAACACCTCCTGTGCTCAGCCCTACTTTGCTTGAAATTGGAATATGAGAAACTGGCCAATCGTTGTGCAGTATGATGCAATTCGAGGAGGGCTTTTTCAGCAATGGTCCTATTATTGTTGCCTCCTTTCAGCATGCCGGAACCTTGCCTTATTGTAAGGAGGCATTCACCACATCCCTCATCCATTTGGTCAATTGCCCCTGACCATTTCTATGATCCAACACGGATCATAAAATGACCAAAAATGGTCACGGGCAAGAGTTCAGTATAATTCTGATGGCTCTCACCTCTCCGAGGATCCTGTCCACATCCTAAGGCTGAACAAAGTGAAAAGTATTCATTATATCTGATTCTGTATGAACTGCACCATTCTCATCAGAACAGAACTGGGTGATTTTTGCCTGCAGACAAGACCGTTGTACAGACAGACCTTTAGCTTGAACCAGAACACTTGTGTTCATTTACTTATTTGTTTGCTTATTGTTTGGATTTATATACCACTTCATAGTGCTGAGAACAGTCTCTGGGTGTTTTACAACATACTAAGCTATAATTAACTCAGTTATTTGAGCTACCAATTTGGATAGAATGACGAACTAGGACTCAGGAGACCTGGGTTCAAATATCTACAAGGCCAAGGGATGGCCATGATAAACCACTCTTTAAATATCCCACATACCTTTAAAACCCTATTAAGGTTCCCATAAGCCATGTGTCACTTGACAGCACATAGCAATTAAAGCCACTACAGTATCAAACCATAATTAAAATCAAAACAATGTATTCTCGAATGTATTCTGACTCCTGTCCTCTGAAGGTGCAGCCACAGAGAGGGGCGAAACATTAGGAAGAAAAACATTCAGAGAGCCTGAAAACCCACAACAATCAAAAAGCAAAATACTTTTAAAACATTGCTATTAGAATACTAATAATAATAGTATTAAATAGTACTATTAATATAAAATAGCCTGAGAGCCTGAAAAACCCACAACAATAAAAAATCAAAACACTTTTAAAGCATTGCTATTACAATACTAATAGTAATAGTATTAAATAGTACTATTAGTATCAAATACTAATAGTATTCTAATAGCACATGCAATTAAAACACTTGTCCTTAGTAGGCAATCAGTTGCTGAAGTCCTGCCTGAGTGAAGAGGTCTTTATTTACTGGCAGGAAAAGGGAGAAGCCTGCTTAACCTCTCTCAGAAAAGATCTCCTAAAGTCTCGGAGCTGCTGTAGAGAAGCCCATCTCTCATATCCTCTCCAGACATGCCTGTGAAGGTGGTGGGACTGAGAGCAGGACCTCCAGACCTCAGAACACGGGCAGGCTTGTTAGGAAGGCATGGTCTTGCAAATAGCCTGGACACAAGTCATATAGCGCTTTATAGATTACAGCCAGCACTTTCAGTTGTGTCTAGAAATGGACTGGTAGCTGTTTAAGCTGTTGTACAAGGAGGGAGGTTCTTTGTTCCTTGTAGCTGACTGCAGGCTGGTTGAAGTGTTTCATATCTGCCAAAGTTTCCAAACTCACTTCAAACACATCACTATGCAGTAGGCATAATAGCAATGGAGCCGAGTTGTAATTAAGGCACGTGTCAGAGGTTGGGCTCGATGGCCTTATAGGCCCCTTCCAACTTCATTTTTCTATGATTCTACGAAGCAAGCAATGTTTTACATGCATTGGAGACCATCAGCTGCTCTCCTTTGTAAAGAGCTAGTGATGATTTCTTGCTCCGTCTTCTGCCATCTCTTTCCTCTCAGCTTCAACAGTAGACACCCTGGACTCTGCGACTACCTCAATCCCATCAATACATTCAGGGCAGGACAGCCTATTGGATGTGGAAATCATCATGAACAGCATGCAATGTGCTCACAGAGGAGAAAAGGTATACGGGGACCCCCTTCTGACTGCTCTTTGGAATGCAAGCCTGTCTTTGAAGAATCCTCAGACCAGGCCAGTCGCCATGACTGTTGCCTTATGGAACTGCACAGCAGCCACTAATTCTTTGTTTATTTAGGTATTTGAGATACTGGCTTGTGTGTGTGTGTGTGTGTGTGTGTGTATTTCAAATTCCTAAATAAACAATTACTTTGCTTTATTGGTTGATTGCTTAAAACTATAGGTCATCGCAATATATCAATGACAGCATCAAACATTTGTGGCACTGTCATATCACAATTACACTTAAAAAGAAAGATAAAGTACCAGTAATCATAAATGCACTTCCAGATGGCCTTCAACAACAGCGAGGAGAACATTAGCTTTCTTCGTGCTATTTCAGCAAGTTGCTTGGAGGCCCGGAAGAGTGGCAAAGACACCTTGGACCTTCCCTACACGAAGGCTGAGCTGGCAGAGGCACTCGTGGTGAGTAGGGGGCAGCCCCCAAAAACCTGGTGGAAAGGTGGTGTTGAAGAGGTGGGCTTGGAACGGTGAACTTCAAAGCTGGGGAGCAAGCCAGAGATGTTAAGGAGGGGGAGAGAGGAGATATGGGACAGTTCAGGGGCTTGTTGGGGCATGGAATTTGTATCCCAGGCCCCCACCAAAGTTCACACATTAGCCTAGAAATGCTTGTTATGCAGCCATTGAGTGAATTGCTTTGATTAGTAATTCAGGTTTTGAGGTTTGTTTGCTTTTTTTAAATTAGAGGGTGTAGGGAACTATCCTAGGCCCCTAATGAAAACTCACTGTTCTTAGGGACCTCCGGAAGCAGAAACTTCTTCTTCATAGTAGTAGTAGTAATTGCTAAAAAAATAGAGAGCTTTTTAACAAGGGGGCTTGCCTGGAAGGCTGCAAAAAATGGCTCGGGGGGGGCAACATTGAGCCTAGAGCCTGTTCTTTGCCCACCTGAAAGACAGAGTTTGGGAGAGTGTGAAAGAGAGAAGAAACATGCAGCCATATTTGAAACAGAATGGCCACATTTACTGTCTGGAGTAGTAAATCACAGCAAACCAACTTTTGTAGTTGGACAGCGAGCCAACTTTAGCAGAAATAAAAGCGGCCTTGGATTCTCTCGCCCGGGAAGGATAACATCCCTGCTGAAGTGCTGTAAAGAGATCATCACCTCTGAGCTGTATGAAATCTTTTGTCTTTGATAGAGGGAAGGTGGAGTACCAAAGAACATGAAGGATGCAAACATCATCACAATAATGACTTTCGTTCTTTGTATTGTACCTTTTGGTCTCTTTCAGATGGTGATGGAGACACTGCCAGGCCACTCTGTGCCATCTGGAACCCTGTCATACTCTATGGTCACTGCGTATAACCTTAGGTGTCTAAGATTTCCTATGGCACTGCCATACCAGCATTGTTGTTTCTTACCTCCATGTTTTTCTGGAGTGAGGATAAGGGGGGAAATATTGGTAGTCGGTAGCATTTACCGAATCCCATACCTGCTGATTTCTGGAGAAATGCCATAAATTGCTGTCTAAAGACTTGTGCTAGACAGAAGACAGACCTCTCAAACACTCTCCTCTTTCTTTCTTAATGGAATAAGCCCCCAAACCAAATTTCGTTCACTTTAAAGGGCTCCTCTTGTCTCTCCCCTCCCTTCCCCCTTCAGTCAGTGGAAATGTGATATTTTATCACATTTAGTTCTGTACTGTATCTTCTTTCCTTTTCCCCTCCAAATTGGTTTGGCCCTTTGCCCTTGCTTTCCTTGGAGCTGCAGCAGATACTGGAAACCCAAATGCAAATGTTGAAGGGCAAATCTGATAGCGGTAGAAGGGTCATGCCTACCACAGCGCTGGTCATGAAGTAACGCACATCCACTGCAAAATGATCATTCCTTTCTAAGTACAAATCTAGCCATTTATTATTCCTTGTTTTTTTTTTTTGTTCCACCACTTCCTCGTGGAATTTCATACAGTAGATGGTACATTTGGATAAAGTCATCGTTAGGCACTTCCTGCTGATGGGATCACATAGGAACGATTAGATAGTGCTCATGCTTCCCTAGATTTTGTATTAGAGCAGTAGTTCCCAACCTTGGGTCCTCAGGTATTCTTGGACTAGAAATCGCAGAAATGCTGGCCAACACAGAAAATGGTAAGGGCTTCTGGGAGTTTTAGTCCAAGAACACATGAGAACTCAAGGTTGGGAACCACTGTACTGTTTACAAAAAAGTAGAACCTACTGCAGGGGTCTCTGCAAAAAGCAAGTTGATGAGTGGCTATATCAAATACATCATCTTCCAGGGAAAATCACATGACAAGCTCCTCTCAGAAACTGCCTCATAACTTAGTCGTTTTACCCTTTGTCTGATCAGTAAAATAAAGCCTCCACTTGATTCTGAGCTGGAGTCCTGCATCTTACGGTTGGCTCTTCATGGCATTTTCAGCATGGAAATAGAACAAGAAAGTTCTCATAGTCAGGTAAATTCTGTTCAAATGTCTTAGAGCTGGGGCAAATATATTACTATGGACCCATAGTGCCTGATTCGTTCTTTAGCTCATATTGGTAAGGACTGTTCTATCCTCAGGTCCTAAAAATGTAGAAATATGTCTTATTAAATGCCACCAAGGGATGAAGGAGGAAATTAGCTACATTACTGTCCATCTTATTTTCTGAATCTATGGAACTACTTTCTGAAGATTAACCTTACTACTCAAAGTAATCAGTGAAGGGAATGCATATTCCCTTTGCTTAAACTGTGTGCCTATCCACAATAGGATTTCCTCAAAGATAAGTACCTTGACAATCAGACTTGCAAATTATGCTCAAGGGCTACATTCCATTGACCAATCACAAAACAAAGCATGCTAAATGCAAGATGCATAGATGAGGAAAAACATGTACTATGACGAAAAGACATCTTTCAGCCCTTAAGAGACCACCTGTTCTATAACACGTTAAAGGTATCCTCTAGTAGTTTAACCCGTAAATAAGAAAGTTGTGTGGCTTTCTATAGCCTGTCTCCTTGCATATATTTTAAGCAGAACTTCAATTTCCTGGATCCCTGTTCAGGTTGCACCCACTTCTGTTTTGCTATATCAAAATTCATAAGTAGTGGTAACAGTTAGTGCGCTCCCCTCAATTCTAGTTGTAGAATAAAAGAATTTAACATTAAAACAAGCCCCTTTCCTTTTAGAGAATAACTTAGGATTCCCAGCAGTTTTTGAAGACGATTCTCCCTGTGAGCCTTGTATTAATGTTCCAATAGGACGGGAGATACCGGTGTGTTGCCAAAATTAATTGACATCTTGCTGCAAACAGTTGTGATACTGGGGCTTCAGCAGCTGCAAAAACCAATTCAGTGTGTTTATGTGGAGGTGTGCCAACAAACACACACACATGTGAACTGCAGATAAGACATCATACCACTGATGAATGATCAGGCCTTCTCCATGGCCACTTTCAGACTCTGGAAGTCCTTTTCAGGAAAAACTCAGGGGTATATTTGCATATGTGTTCAATACCTTTGTATTCTTATGAAGACATTTGTATTCAGAAAGGCTCTCAGCACATAAGATGGTCTACTGTTGATCAGCATCTAATTGGTTAGATGTTTTCTGTGTTTTTTAATATTGTTTTAAACTGTCTTTTACTCAGTTGATTCATTTATGCACTGGGTTTTAATCGGGGCTTTGTTTTTAAATTGTGTTTTATTGCTTTTGCTCAGCCTTCATGTACAGTTTGCTTCTTTTTAGCAGAAAGACAAGGATATAAATTAAATGAAAGAAGAATTTTAAAAAATGAAGGGGTAAAAATGAAGTAAATGAAGAGCTTTTGCTTGCTCATACCACCCGTCCCACTCTTTAAAGTAACCTTTTCGTAATAATGCTGTGTTTGTGGGCAAAGAATTCAGCCTCGGCAATCTACTCTACAACTCTCTTTCTCAGCAGGCTCTGTACAAATCATCCTCAGACACAATGGAAACTATGCTGAAGGGGCTGCTGTATGAAGTTCCAACCACAAGCCATCTCCTGTTTATATTAAAGGTTAGTTTAAGAGAAGAATTTGCCTTGTTAACACAAAGGAGCATCTGGCAGGGAAATAATATAATCACTCTCTTAAGGTTAAACTGGACCCTACATTAGAAGCATTGTGTGCAGTCATATGATCATTTCAGTTTTTACCCATAAGTAAGCAGGCAAGTGCCCAATCCAAATTGGGTCCATCAGAGTCAGGTAAAAGAGGTAGACCTCCATGACGTAGACATCTTGACTATATGATGTAGACCTTTATTGATCCATATTTATTAGGCTTAATTTGCTTTTCAGAAATTGGCTAGAGGGTATTTAACTCTTCCACACCTGTGAGCAGGGAGCCTAATCCAAATCAGGCACCAATATGCTTACCTATAGGTAAGAAAGAAGAGCTCCCATAGGAGAGCCTGTGCATTTTGATGTAGAATCGAGTAAAGCTTTCTTGGCATACCTTGGGGCAACAGCAGCAGGCATCCACCAGCCGAAGGGGGCTGACAGACATGCTGGTGCACAAGCATCAACTTGACAGGCATAGAGTCCATTTAAAAACATTAAGCCTCAAGAGATGGGGTACTGAAGGGCAAGAGACTTAGGGCAGCCCTAGTGTTAGGGAAAGAGAGGCAGCATATGTGGGAGATGTAAAACAACAAGTTTTCGGGCGAAACAGAGTCTCTCGCAGACGCTTTGCTCACGGGTGTATATGTGGGAGATGTAAAACAACAAGTTTTGGAGGATGTCACTTCGGGCGAAACAGAGTCTCTCGCGGACACTGCTTTGCTCACGGGTGCGGCAGAGACTGCATTCCTGTCCCTGTCCCTCTAGCAAGATTCAACAGCCAGTTTGGTTGTTTCAAGTAAAGTGTGTAGGTGAGGTGACTGCACCACCTTGTCCTGCTTCTCCATCAGTAAACCATCTTGGGTCAACTCTGGAAAGACTCTTGTGTAGCCTGCTACAGTTCTCAGTAATAGAGACTGGGTACTGTGTGGGGTGCAAACCAAAAACAGATGCTGCCCAGCCTTTCAGAGTACCTTTCCTTCCATAGCACATCAACTTCTGGATTCATTCACCAGATGTACAAGAGAGAGCCCGGGCCATGAGATGCAGCACTGTGTTGCTTCAATATGCTATTCAGCTGCCTGATTTCCAAGTGAGTAGCCCTGCATGTTGGCTGAGCTTGAAGGCCTTGAGTAAGAAAGAAAAGTTTGAGGGGGAAAAGTCCCCAATTGCTTATGTTCTTTCCACTTTTTCTGGGGAAGAGTGCCTCCAGGCCAGGCTAGACTTTCTGACTCTTGCTAGCTCCAGGACCATGGGAACTTTTTCCTCCTGAAGAAGCTCATTGCTCAGCTAGAAGTAGGGAGTGGGGGGGGCAGCACTAGGGTGAAGGAAATGTAGGTTGCCTCTGCTTTCAAGACATCACTATCTTTTTCCATTCAAAGTTATGCCTCCATGGCCCTTCCACTAAAGTTAATTCCACTGGAGTGTTTTGTACTAGCTGGCCAACCCAGTCATCTTATTTCTGGTTGAACAGTATCTTGCATTGCAAAGAATGGGGGTTGATCCATTAAATTAAAGGAGGGCCCAACCTACTTCTTCGTGCTTACCAGAGGCAAAGGGTCCGAGTCCTTCCTCTGGGTCTCTCCTGATGAGCTCCTAATGTGTGTGTGGGGGGGGAGAAAATGAAGGAATAAATGTAAGTAATACATCATCTGCCTGCAGCTTTTGGAGCTTTTGGAAAAGGTATAAAAGCATGGTCTGGCAGAAACATTTCTAATTTGGAGAAAAGACACATATCTCTGCTAGTTTGTGAAATAGATGAATGGGATGTAGCAAGAAGGAATGTCAGAGTAAACGCATGTCTCCTTGTGGTTTTTTTTTTGGGGGGGGGAATAAGTGTTTTTGCCCCTGGCTGTGCCTGTCAGTGAGCCTTCTGCTTCACCAACAACAACTGGCAGGAGTCACCAGTGGTGGCAAAGAACTTTGCTCCATTGTCTTCCTCCTGACACTATAGTTTTAGAGTGTACAAGGGGTAGGTAACACATGGCCTATGGGCTGCATGTGCCTTGCACCCATGTTCTGAGGTCCTTGTAACACTGCTAGTATCTGCACATCTGAAACTGCAACACATTCCTTTCCCTCCTTGTTTCTATAGAAGGGGTAAGAAGCTTTTGCTTTCCCGTCTTGTAGGGCTCTCTGTGATATGGGAGAATGCACTGGCATCTTCTAATATCGAAGATTTCTTCTGGTTTTACGCCTAGAAATGTGCAGGGCTGTAATTGTGGTAGGGACAGAATGTATACATAAGTTCCCACCCCACTCAAAAGTAAGACAGAACTTCATGAATTCATCACAAAGATCTGCAGGGGACCCTTTCAATAGGGTCGGCTGAATATCCTTACAGCATTTCCGTGAATCGGAGCCCTGCTTTATCAGAGCTTCTGATCAGGGAAACACCACAAATGTGTTCAGCTGAACCTGCAAACAAATGCCTCTGCAAACCTTCACAGTGAGTTTGGGATGGGGGTGGTGGGGAGCAGGGCTTAACCAGCATCTCAATGTCATCACAGCCTTGCACATTTTCCAGCTTTATACCTGAATAGGGCTCAGATTTCAACAGCTGTGCAGTTTCTAGACAATGCAACATAATCATTGCCCTTCGGAAGCTCCCTTCCCCTGTATTATAGTCATTCTGTCATCATCCTGTGTCAAATGCAGAGCAGAGGCTATCTCCTACACATTGGTTATCTCACCCCATAAACCAAGACTCTGCAGCAGCTGAAGGCCTGTTTCTTCATGGCTTTGTGGGAACAGAGATCAGCTCAGACAGGGATAAGCCGACAGTAAATTGGGAATGAAGATCAAGTCCCTGTTATCTGCTTTCTTTCTCATTAGAAGACAGGTGAACTCCCTGCCTTGGGATATCAGGTGGCTCAGTATGGAATCTGCATCACAGATCCATTAGAAGATGTGAACCATCAGGCCCGGGAAGCCATCAAGTGCCTTTATCAGCTGCTGCTTCATCACATGGGTAAGAATGCTTGGAAGGATGAGGTCAGTGGTGCCTGCTTGGCAGGTCTACATGTTATCCTGCATGGTTCATATACACCTTAACTACTCTCCATTCTGTCCCTTTAGAGCACTGGCTCCCAACCTTGGATCCCCAAGGTGTTCTTAGACTAAAACTCCTAGAAGCTTTCACCACTAGCTGTGCTGGCTACGATTTCTGGGGGTTGTAGTCCAAGAATCTTAGAGCATTTCTGAGTGAAAGCATATCTGTTCTGAGGTTTTGGAGAGAATTAAAGGTGCCTCCTAAGCTCTCCCAGCCCTCAATCTGGCCTGATCCCACACTCGCCTGCACTAAAGGCATGGGTATTCCTTTTGACCTCAATGTGTTTTCATTTCTTGAACGCCTCCCATGCTTTCTAATCCACCGTGGCAGCACTGAACCAAATGGCTCTCCTAGAAGGGGTTTTTACTGTTTTCTTTACTGTTTGCTTATGTAGATCCTAAAGCAGAAGCATCGCAGGCTGCTCTGAGAAAATGGCCTCTCTTCTTTCCTAGTTATTCTTCCACAAAGCTGACTGAACCAGGAAAGAAGCAGTCCCCTGCTCCTCAAAGTTGCATTTTGTGTTGCTCTTCTCTCTTTCATCTGTAGACTGTGCCATTTATGATTTATTTCATTTTTATACCACCCATTTGGCTGAGGCCACTCTGGGTAGTTTACAGCATATAAATACCATCAAGTACCATTTAATATAACAAAAAAAGAGAAAGAAATAATAAAATACAAATAAACAATAAACTCAAAACATCAAAATAAAACATTTAAAAATATTCAAAGCTTTGAAAACATTTAAGATAAAGTCTGTAAACTGCCTTGAGTGCAACTTTGTAGTGGAAAGACATGATATAAATATAACACATAAATAACCAACCCCCACACAACAGGCCTAATCTGGATTGCAGAAGGCCCCCTCTGGCCCACAATGGCTCTTCACAGAACCCCTCCACCAAGCTCCTCTCAGCTACCCAGGAGAAGTGCCCCCACTCTCCCTCATCAGTGACTGGAGATAGTAGGGATTCTCCTGCATGCTCAGCCTGTGTTTGCTGAGTCTCAAGGCTGGCACTTATCCAACCCTTCAAAAGGTTAGATGAGAGTCATTCAGTCTTCTTCATGTGGATACTTTGGATTCTTACCTTGGCCTGTTCACACTTTTTAATGTTCCTTGACCTACAGAGGTAGGTGGCAAGAATGCGCTCTTTGTATAAACATATTTCGCCATCCCTGCCTTTCATAAACACAGGACAAGGGTATCATGCCCAGAGCATTTGGTATATCTGCTCATAAGCCAGACTGAAATCTTCATTGCTCAAGTTTTCCCTCACACCACAGCCACAATCCGTTACCCAAGGTATCAGACAATGCACTTTGGAAAGAAATCCTCAGATCCTGTAAACAGGAAAGATCCAAACCCATCATGTCAGCAAGCTCCATGAAGTATAAAAAGAAAAGAGAGTCATTTAATTTTTACTGTCCCTGTCAGGGCTGAGTCCCAAAGAGGGAGGAGAGCTGTGGTGCCGGCAATCAGAAGAGACGAAGCTGCAAGCGTATATGGATACCTGCAGGGTGGGTGAGGTAAGGAGAGAGTCCCCTGTAGCAGCACGGGATTGAGATGCAGGACAAGGCTGTAACTAAGGGGATATGACAACCTGTTCCATGATGAGTTAGTTACATGCCGTCAAGTCAGAACTGACATATAGTCACCCTAATAGAGCTTTCTAGGTATTCAAGGAGTGGTTTTACCAGTCCCACTCCTCTGTTGAGTTTTCATGCCAAGTGGGGATTTGAACCCTGGTCTTCAGACTCTTAGGGCCTGCCCACCCTGGGAAATTTGGTGCAGTTCAGTCCATGCTTCTTAAGTCCGATCTATTTTAATTCTCACTTGAGCAATCCTTCTGTCCACACCGGAGATTGTGCTCTGAGTCCTCTTCTCCCATGCTACAGATCCATACAAGGCAAGGTTTTCCTGGTTTACCCGTGAGTAAGGGGGAGGCAGCCTCCAAGGACAGCTGCAACATGAGGGAAGAAAATTGAGATAATTGAGATGAAGGGGGGGGAGAGAAGGGGGGTAAACACGCCCTTTTCCAGCCTTTCTCCTCAACCGAGGCTTTCCATGGGCTCTCCTTCCCTGTGGGGTAGAGCCCATGGAATCAACAGAGCCCCTTTCCCTGCCTTTTCTTTTGGACCTCATTCACGAGGCTGGGGTGACTTTCTTTCTTTCTTTCTGGTTAAAAGAAGAAGCGGCACATCAAGATGGCAATGCCTCAACCTGGTTTGGTCTTAGAATTCCACTGTATCGGTTAGGGAAATATAAAAAATTTAAAAAGAAAAAAATAGAGGAGGGGCTTTCTCCATTCTCTTTTTCAATGCTACAGCATCACAGGTTTGTCCCCAGAGTTAACACTGCCTGCAAGTGTCATTTTGATGTGAGTTAACTATCCACACAGGTTAAACAAACAATTATTTTGAATAACACAGAGTCATACCAAAACAAATACATGCTCTACCACTGTGCCAGAAAGGTATGTAGCAGCTCTTAAATGGGAAGGATGGCTCATTCTAACTAAAAGCACATGTGGGTCCTGTTATTTGCCTTGATTGAAACAGTTCCCTTTGTCTGTCGCTCAATCCACTACACCACTCTGGATACCTAGTTCCAAGATTAGAATGATGTAAAAGAGACTAAGAGCTAAAAAGTTCCTATATACCATTCCTTCTAATATGAATTATGGCCATTTGGCAGAAAAACAGGGCTGCCATAGGTAACACAGTGTTTCTACTTCTGTAAAGAACTTCCTGGCTATGCAGAAATAAGATAGGTTTGCAAACTGGAAAAGCAATGCTGGGGGAGAGGAGAGGAGGAGGAGAAGAAACCATGATTTGGTGTGGCCATGCTCATTAACATCTAGAGCCACAGAAATGTGGAGATTTGAGGGAACATTAAGTGTCATTTGAATGTGGAAACTGGGCTCCCCAGCTGGATTATCTTGTGGGGTAAGATGATGCAGTATACAAAGTTGGATGTAGGGTTGGGGGATACATACACTTCCTAAACTATACAATGATATCTCAAGAGGGACAGTGTGAAAAAGGACACTCTCTACTTTCCCTGCTCTTCAAGAACATTTCTCCTCCCCAAAATACAGTAATAAGGTTTTCAGATTTCAAGTTAGCAAGTCCTGAAACAGAGACTTTTAATAGGTATACAGTGTGGGGCTGCAAGACATTGGGAAAACCAGCCTCCTTTTTCATTGTTTGCTCTTCTGAAATTCACTGTTCCACTCAAGAAATACTATATGCTGAACTGAGTCTCTGAAAAGGAAGCTCTCTAGTTAGGAGTGTTTAAGACTTTGTTAGACATTTGTTCTATTCTAGTGCTTATTTTTTTTTTTAAATTAAATCCTGAGTGACACTCTAAACTTACTGTTTTATAGTAATAACCACATGTTGATCTTAGCTGTTCAGGAAGATCTTCACAGAAGATCAGAAGAGAACCTTTCTGCAGACATCTTTGCTCTCCATGTATGATCCATTAAGGAGACGGAGTGAGGCTGGGGTCCTCCTAGGATATTCTCTCCTGGGGAAGGCAGACAGATTAATGGGGGATAAGGTGAGAGTATAGTTTAATATGTGAAAAGGGAAAACTACATTTTTTTCTTCATCATGAAAGTATCAGTAGTCCTCAATTAGAACTATTCAGAGTTGACTGAAAGTATGATCAAACAAGGATTTGTCCTGCAGTGTGGGGAGAGGCTGGAGATAGGGTGGATCACTCCTTTTCCTGAGAACCACATGACATACAGGCCATCGCAAACCAACCCTGATTTTTATCTACTCGGACCTTTTTGTCTCCTTGTCAGGGGTTATGGTTTGTATGTCCTGGATAGGATCACTCTGTTTTGGTTTTGTTCCACTGTGTGTGATCACTGCAGTTGAACACAAGCAGATGGCTTAAGCTATCTCTTTGCTTAAGCAAAGTACAGAGGAGAGGACCAGCAGCTTCCCAAGAATACACGGACTAGCTGTTCTCCTGGGAAGTACAGTACCAAATGGAACTCCCAGCCCCAGGAGTTCAAACTCCTCAAATAAGTACCAGGGTACCTAACTCACTGAGCTATCCAGTCAGTTATACAATAACTATCCACAAAGACAATCCATAACAAAAACAATTAGAAAGGGACTGAAATAATCATACTCCCAAAATAAGTAGCTGGGTCAACAAGAGCAAAACTCAGTAGCTAGCTTCACATGCAAGCCATCCCCTTCAATTCTTTAAAAAAATTTCTTGCCCTTTTAGCACTTTAACATTTTTGTGTGGACCTATGGCTATTAGCAAAACAAATAAACCAAAATACCACTACTCTACACAAATATCTGAGCAGGGAAATATGCAAAACATGGGGGCAGGAGTAGACCAGGAAAAGAAAAAAATATTTGACCTGAATCAGATGTGTATGATGTACTGCTGCAATGGCACACACACAAATGCACACACACACAAATGCGTGCACGCACACACACGCACACACCAATAGTGAGATGACGGACTGCTCACACTGGGCCAGCAGTGGAGAGGGGTGTTTCTGTTCCTTTACCAAGGTAGTCTGACTGGTATGAATTAGATTCTCCCTTCTAATCTGTACAGGCAGAAGACATGGAAAGAAATATATACGAGCAGCTCTTCAAGCTTCGGACACTCCGGCAGGTGCCAGAAGCACTGCAAAGCATTATTCCAAGTAAAGGTAATGCTGCCAGACCATAGAGGCCAAAGCTTACTGGCAGAGGACATGCTCTGCACAAAGAGGATCCCAGGTTTCACCTCTGGCACCTCCTGCTTTTTTTAAAAAAGGTGGCTAAGTATTATTAGCAAATACATGTTTTTACGTGAGCCGCTGCCTCTGGAAGTGACAATGTTGGGCTCAATAGAAAAACTGAGCTAGTATAAGGTGGTTTCTGTTTTCCTTCGGTCCTAGACAGTGGCTTAGCTAAATATTTTCTTTTCCTGCACCAGCAAATATTTTCTGAATTATCTGATGAGTTCTGAATTAATATATTCTCTTCCACAACTCCCTCTGCTCCTCTGCTATTTTTTTCCCAATGACAAATAACAACTGGGCCCTATTCATTTCAATTTTCTATTTGTTACACAATGAAGCTACACTCCCCCATCAACTACAGTTTAATAAGAATAAGAAAGCACAGAAAAGATTAGGAAAGGAAATTATGCAGAACGGAGGAATAAAAAGGAAAGTGAAGAGCCTTTAAGGAATAAAAATATAATACAGAGAAATCTAAAGCACGGAGAGAAAAACTATAGGAGAAACAAGAAAACACAATGTTAACCCAAGAAATCTAGCAGGTAAGTTTACCTAGAAGAAAAAGACAGCAAGAACCTCCTGGATATCCTCTGGCTTCTCTTTAGATTGTATAAATCTTTAACCTTTTATTAAAGAATCTCCTGGATTAACATTATGGTTAGATAGCAAGGATGCAACACTGACTTCAAAAAGGCTTTTGCAAAAACCTTGAAAGGATAGATCCACAATGAGTTTACAAGAGCTGAGCAGGACATTTTGGAGATCATTCATAGGGTCACCATAGGTCAGAGGTAACATGACGGTACATAACAACAGCGTATGTCAATATATTTTTATTAAGTTTCTCAGGATTTAAGTCAAAGTGGTTAATTCTTGCATTAGGTATAACATTGTCATGTCAATCACTGGAAGCCTGTGGAGGACCCTGTGCAGGATGCTGAATTGCATCCTTGCCTGTTGGCTATGCTGATTGAGCCTGATGGGAGATGTAGTCCAATATGATCTGGTGGTCACAGATCCTGCTGTACAAATTTAATTCTAATCATAATACATGGCCTTATCCCTAAATGCCAACAGTGGTCCACAAATGAACCCCTTCCACTGCGGGCCTGAAGGAGGCCTACATATATATGTACGATACTCAGTGGTTCTCAAACTGGGGTCCCCAGATGTTCTTGAACTACAGTTCCCAGAAGCCTTTACCACTTGGCATCCTGGCCAGGATTTCTGGGGATTGCAGTCCAAGAGCATCTGGGGAGCTGACTCTGAGAACCACTGCTAGGGCAGAATCCTGGGCAGCCAGTGTTCCTGTCCCATTAGAGAGAGCCCTCCAAGTGTATATCTTTATTTGTGTGGGCCTTCTTCCTAGTTGCAGAGAAGGGGGAAGTCAGCATACAAATCAACATCCACTGTCCAGAGAGAGAGACTACGGTACACCACAGACTTTTTGCTGCCCTTTTGAATCCACCCGTTGAATGGTTGAAATGACCCAAGATAGGGCTCCTAGATTATGTGGATTCATGATGTAAAGGTGGCAAAAAGCTGCTGCGTTTGCGTGCATGCAAAGTATAATTTATACAAGTGAAGTACAGTATAAGTTAGAGTTATTTAAGTTTTCCTTTTATCTCTATTTTCTCATCCACCCAGTCGATAATGATGCTTGATGGTTAAGAACAGCTCAAACACCTGCAACAATGCTGCTTCAGGCAGGAAGATCAAGAGAGCAGAAGGCTAGGCTTAGCAGTATGTTTCCATCTGGTCTCCGGTTCCTCTTAGGCAATGCGTCTCTAGAAAGCCCCAAAGGTCCACCAATATCACTAAAGAAGCCAGAAAGCAGTTTCTGCCCACAGCTTCTTCTGTGCTGCATGTCAGCTGATGCATCACATAGACATCAGTGGCTCCAATTGCCAATAGAAGGAAGAAACCAGCTGGGGACGCAGTATTCCATTGGGACAATCATTCAGAGGGCAGAACCAGAACATAAATGTCTTTTTAAATACCTATAATTAAATGAGAATAGTGATTTCCCCATCTTCTGGTTAAACTGCACTTCTTTCTGTGGATCGTTTTTCATGGATGCTAGCTTGCACTTTGATGTTTTCTGTGGCCTGACCTGTATCACTCTCTAAAGCAGCACTCCTGTAAACCAGTGTAAATGAAGTAATATCACTCGCAATGAGAAGAAGACTGTGTTTGGATATAAACACAAAAGAATGGATACATGGAAACAGAAAGGTGGCAAAGATGAAATAAATAAAAGGTAGCAAGTACATCTGGAAGTGAATCGGTTATTCTAGAACAATTCAGTCACTGTTGTATATATCTCATCCCTTTATCATCTGGAGAACAGTGCTTCCAGGTGTACACCAAAATTTGCTCCTTACATACACAAACAGGTAACTGATACTTGACAACATGTGGTAAAAAATTTTGGGGGATGCCACTCTCCTAAAATACAAGAGAGTTAAAGCATCCCCTTTTTTTAAATCTTCAGCCACATGGATGCTGGCCTTAAAGACTGCTGTTTAGAAAACATACCTGATGGTGGAGAAAGTTTATTGCCAATTGAGTTTTCCACACAGATAATGTTTCTTCACATTTATCCAACACCAACTCTTCCTGCTCAAAATCATCCTGCCACCTACACCCCAGGAATAATACCATCTTGCATGCTTCTCCTTTAACCTTGGGTATCTGTGGGGAAGTATGCTTGGTACCTGCCACTAAACCTAGAGTTTCTACCCCCATATCTCAGAATCTTTGAAACCACCTCTTCTTTCTTGTTGCTCCTTCTGCCTTTCCTCTTTCCCCCGTTTTCTGCTCTCTGAAGATACACGAGTACAAATGTAGCTGTACTCTATCTGTCCTGTCTGTCTGTCTGTCTGAACAAAGCCATGAAGTAAAAACTTTTTTTTAATGAAGGAGCACGTCATCTGATAATTTTTCCAAAGAAAGGGGTTGAGACTAGGCAGATCTGTTCACCCTTTTCTCTGCTCTAGAAAGGGAACAACCAAATTTCCAATCCCTCTCACACCTCCTGAGGGCATTATGGAGCATTAAAAGAGGCAGAGGAGAAAGGGACAAGCCCCTTGCCTCTGTTTAAACCACAATGATCTTTTATAGATATTTACTCAGGAATAAATTCTCCAGGGTTTTAGGCTGGATTTTTCTCCTAGCCCTACCAGAACATCCTTGGTGGTCTCTCCTTCAAAGACTACCTAGACCTGGCCTGCCTAGCAGACAAAATCAGGCATGTTCTTGGTGGTATGACATCGTATCTGTAGTGTAGAGAAGAAATGTTGGATTCCATTCCTACAGAAAGTAGAATGAATAGGATACAATTATACACAAGGTCTTAAGGTAATTTGAAATAGCATATACCTTAATACTTTGCTTCTACTTTTGGGTGTGTTTGAGAGTAGAATATTTATTTATTCATTTAATATTGCTACCATGCAAAAATATCAGATGATTCTGGGACATGCACAAAATTACATGAGGTACCTTGGCCCAATTTACATGCCTATTGTGAATTTGTCTGCACACATTAAAATAATAAATATATGTAAGATACCAGGAGGGTGGTATGCCCCTGCCCCCACTATGAAGCAATTCTAACAAAGTTCTGGCATTATCTCTTATGAGCATCTGTCACTTTGAACATACTCGTTCTAACAACCAGCCTCTAATCTCTTGGTTAAGGGATGTGTCGGTTATGTATTTTCTTATGGTTCTGGCATAGTGATTAGTCACATTGTCCACTGTACTCTAGAAATAGATCTGGTACCTAAGCTTCCCAATTCATTTTTCCTGCATTCTTTAAATTTTTCATAGACGTAGGTGCAAAGGTTTTTAAAAAAACACTCTTGGTTCTTAAAGTGGGAAGTGGCTGTTGGACAAGAGCAGAAAACTGAAGACTTTAGCAACTCTGAGATTTCCATATTCATCATCCAAACAATAAAGCAGATCTTAGTTTATGCTAAAATATGATTTAGATCTATTTGTGTTTTTTCCATTGTAAATACTTTAAAATGCTATTCAAATGCAAAACCATTGTTATAATCCTCACAAATCATCATAGAGGGGACTGTGGCTGAGACAGCCTCATTTACAACAATCTCATGGTGTGGTTAATTTGAATGATGCAGTTAGGAGTACCTAATAAACAGCACCTGCCCTTTTTTGTAATGAGTAAGGTTGTCATGGTGTTACTGTATTTATTCCCAGCTATATATTCTCATTGGCTTGGAATTGTGAATAATTATAAAAGCAACAATAAGAGAGGGAAACATTAAATGTGGATTTATCAGAGGATAGATAGTAAGAATTTAGTGGAATAAAAGGTTGACTAACACAGGAACAGTAAAGCAAATAAGTAAAGACAAAGGAATAGCAGGAAATGATGCCAGAACTTCATTGTCACAGTTCCTTTATAATGGAGGCATGGAAATATTTCACTCCTCCTCTTCTTACATGTATTTATGCTTTTAATGTGTGCAGGCGGACATCTACTGACACACAACATGCAGGACGCTAGGATACTTTGGCCTTGTAATGAGAAACAAAAAATACTGTTTCAGCTAATCATTCAATGAATAATAAAATGAAAAAGAAGTGAGGAAGCAACTACAGTATGGTTAAAAAATCTAGGGGACTGGTTATATCATTCAGAGCTGTCATATCCAAAGTCAAAATAGTCATTATGATGTCCAACTTCTGATACGAGAAGAACAAGCAGTATTTTTAAACAATGCTTCAGTGCAGAGCATGGGCAGCTCTGATACTGGAGCAGAATCAAACTAGATCTTAGAATAACCCTTAGCAGAGAAACACAGGCCTCAGAGAAACTAGGCCCAGGAACATTCACACATAGTACAGTGGTGCCTTGACTTACGAACGTCTCGACATACAACCATTTCGAGTTACGACCAGCTCCGGCCACAAAATTTTGCTTCGACTTGTGGCCAGAGCTTCAAATTACAACCAAAAAAGGCAGGGAATTCAAATTGCTAACCATTGGTAGGCAAAGAGGATGCTTCTTTGTAGCTCTTTTGCTCCAACGGTTAGAGTGACTGCGATCGGAGGAGGCTTCGGACTGCTTGGTGAGGTAAGGTGCTGCTTTCTGCTTCTTAAAAACTGTTCTGGGTGGGTTTTGCAGTGTGGTTTTGGGCTGGGTGGTAGGATTATGTTTCGATGCTGTGATGGGTCTTGGGGGGTAGTTGGTTGGTTTTCCCCCCATTTCTGATGGGCCTTGGGGGTTTGCTTGCTTGTAGCGGTCTGGCCGCCACACAGGTGTGGAAGAATCACACAGGACACAAAGATTAGGATTGATTGGGTTCCGGAGCGATACGGTCAGCCGTGGTGTATTATGGCTTGAGGGTAAAAAGACTCTCTTCCCTGGCCCGTAGCCCCTTTTTTTTATAATCTCCCATAATGCAATTCAAAATTTACACAGCCAATCACAATAAAGTACATGGACTTACATAACATATCTTACATATCTTACTGCACATGTAAATGGTTATACAACATTACTATATATGGGTATATAACATAAGTTTCCTAGCTTGCTGGTGTACGTAACTGCTTCGCTTAAGCATAATGGCGGACTCCCACAATAGGCAGCTGTTCTGCTTGTCCCTTCTGACCCTCTGCCATAGCTGCATTTGTATTATGAGTTACTGTTTCGCCATTCTCTGAGGTAACTTTGTTTCGCTGCACGCAATACACTGACTTAGGCTTGGGTAAATCAACCTTTTGACCCCCTTCTCTGGCCTTAGCACTTTGTGAAATGAAATGGTCTTTCTCCCCACATCCAAAACAAGACCTGAAGTTTCTCTGTTCTGGGCTAAGAGTCTTATCTTCCTTCCCTTCCCAGTGCCTGTATTTGGGCTAGCTCTGTTCTGAGGGCTTGCCTACAAAATGGCCGCCACTTTCCTGCTGGTTCTTAAAGTAAACTTGTCCTCACAAGTTTTTCTTCCCACTTTTACTTCAGAAAAGTTCGTGTTTTGAATGTGTGAAATAACATGTGTGCCTTCTCCTGGTTCCTGAACAGTTTGGGGCTTTACCTTTCTCTTAGAATCATTAAACTTTTTTTCCTCAGCTTTGCGCTGTCTTTCCCATCTCTTTTTAATGTCTAGCTCCAACTGCCTACAGTATTCTCAGACCTCTGTTCCTCTTTCCACTTTTCCAACCGCTTTGTCCCCTCAGAGTCATCCCTAAACTCAGGACAAGCCAGCCAATCTGCCACAGCTTTTGCTTTGGGCAACTCTCCACAGAAAATGGTCACCACAGAGCCAGTCCCTATCTCAGCCACCCCAATCTGAAGCTTCAGCGCCCTCCTACTAGACTTTCTCCCCCATGAGATGAGTCCTAGGAAGTTACCCACGCTTCCACTCAGATTCCCTAACTAAGATTCTGCTCTGGGCACCTTTTCCAGACCAAGGCTTTACTGGATCACTTCGTATCCCACACGCTGGACACCAATTTTATTGTAACGTGGCTGGCCACTCCAAAGTTACTGCCCCTCAGGCTTCTAAGAATGCCCACCATGCTACTACACTCTATTGCTGCCACGAACCTTTCCTTTAAATGAAAAGGATTTGTTTGCTTTCTGTTTTGCTTTTTTTGCATTTCTGAAGGGCCTTGCGCAGTTTGTTTGCTTTTCTTTCCCCCCCCCCCCTTTGGCTGGAATGGATTAATCGCGTTTCCGATGGGTCTTGCAGTGTTTTGTATGTTTTTTGATTTTTCTTCCTGGCCAGAACGGATTAATTGCATTTCAGCGCATTCCTATGGGAAATGGCACTTCGACTTACAACCATTTCACGTTACAACCATCTTCCAGAACAGATTAAGTTCGTAAGTTGAGGCACCACTGTACAGAATGTCATTCCAACAGTTGTTTGGCCCATCCTCCTTTTGATCTGGCAGATAGCCTGGTCCTGGAATGCAGGCAGGAGGAAACCAGGAATGACAGTCCAAAACATTTCACACCAGGGAGCCGGAGAATGAAGGCCATATATCAGGGCCAGGAAGCCTACACATAAACGTACCAAAAGATAAGATTCTTTCCCCAGACATTCAGGTGCATCATGGGCATAGGCCAAAGACACATGGGCACACAATCTGCATATCTACAGTGTTTCCCCAAAAATAAGACAGGGTCTTATATTAATTTTTGTTCAGGGGATGTTTTATTTTTTCATGTACAACAATCTACATGTATTCAAATACAGTCATGTCATCTTCTTCTGGTTGCTGCACAATGGTGGAGGGTGGGGTTTCACTGAACTGGGGCTTATTTTTGGGGTAGGCTTATATTACAAGCATCTTGAAAAATCATACTAGGGCTTATTTTCAGGTTAGGTCTTATTTTCTGGGAAACAGGGTACAGTATAGGGAACCAATAGATCAGTGTAGTTGGCATCACTACCCAATGAGGGACTGGATCCAAACAACCAATAGAATTGTAGCATATTATGACTTTGTATCATTATAAAACATATGTACACTGTATTTTTGGGGTCTTCTCTGCTTTTAAGAGAAGCCCCAGCTGATTTTTAATTTGCTGTCATTCAAATAAAATTGGGCCTTTGGTTCACCTGTTGCATCTATGTTCTTTGCTTTGCCAGAGAATCTTAGAACCCAGGTTAGGCTGGTAACAGTTCCTCTAAAGATGAATCAATATAATAATGTGAGGGAGGGGGAAAGCACCCCAGTGCAGGGATGATACTCTGGACTACAAAATACTCAAGACACCAAGAATCCAAACGGTAATGATATTATGGAATCACTAAAGTATAAGGTGAGCTTTTGTGCCTGATAGTACTCTTCACTCAGCTGGCTACTAGGGATGGAGGGAGAAAAGCCCAAAAAACATCCCAGCTAGATGATGAAGATTCAGGATCTCTAGTTAAACTGTTTTTCCAAGAAAAATGCCTGGGTCTGAGCATGCAGCAGCTATGTGGGATCCGCTCTGAGTTTCCATGTTCTGTATTTCCTTCTGCCCACCGAGGAGTGGCTCGACCTAGCAAAAGCACTCAGGGAAGGCACGTTTACAGTGGACCCTCTACTTAAGGAATTAATCCGTATTGGAACGGTGGCTGTAAGTCGAAAAGTCTGTAGGTCGAATCTCCATTGACCTACAATGCATTGAAAACTGATTAATCCCACAACTGGCAGTTTTTATTCTATTTTTGTTCCATTTTGGTTTTTTTCTGGTCTGTAGGTCGATTCTCCGGCTGCAAGTCGAATCTAAATTTTGCAGCCAGAGAAGTCTGTAACTCAAAGTCTGTAAGTCGAGGGTCCACTGTATATCCTGGCCTGGGTTCGAATCCCCGCTGAGCCGTGGAAGCTCGCGAGGCGGGGGAATGAGCGTCCTGAAGTATTCCTGAAGTATCTCACTTACCTTGAAACTCCTATTAGGGTCACTATAAGTCGGTTCCGACTTGACCACGCATAACAATTTTCAGTGCTCAGCCGCTTTGCCCAAGTTATGGCTGCGTTTATTATTCTAGCATTTAACTACCTTTTTTCTTTTACTAGTAATTTTCCAATCTCTGCTTCAGTAAAACTTATTCACAGCACACACCGACTGATAACTTCTGCCAGGGCTGGTGAGTATTTCTAGCCAGAAACCCCAAATATAAAGCACGTTTTAGGTCGCACCAAGGCTCGATGTACTGTAGTTACATTCAGCCTCCCAATGGCTTCGCAGCCCGAAAGCAATCTTCGCGTGCCTTTCCCTCGCATTCCCCAAAGCATCAAGAGAACAGTTCTAATGTAACCCGGAATCTCGACGCAGGGGTGTCATGCTACACGTTTCTACGTCTGTAGACTTTCCAGGAGAAGACTAAGGACGGAGAGGGAAGCGAACGTCTTCCTGCGGCGCGCGAGTATGACGTACAGAAATGGTGAATGACGAGTTCGTATTTGGGCACCCGAGGCTGGAGGGGAGGATTCTAAACCGGGAGGCGAGACCATCTGTACCAGATAGAAGAGGGGATGACGCGGGATCGACTCCCGTCAGGTATGGTGAGTTAGGGTGGAGAGTTCGTATTTTTAATTGATTGTATACCTTGATCAAATCAGTTTCTTTTTAAATGCAAGAATAGCTTATTAGGAAGGGTGGTAATTTCAAGTTAACGTAGGTCTGTGTTTGGCTCATTAGATATAAATCTGATCAGATTGGTTGGGAGGGTTAGGCTTCCCTGAGCAGAAATAAATCCATTGGGACTTAACTCTCCGTTAAATGTGCAGCTGTACTGTTTGTTTTCCAAAGAGCAAGCGTTGATCGGAAGAGCTTCGCGAGTCTGTATCACACAGGACTGCTCGTCAGGTGCTTTTTGCCCTCGTTCCCTCTCTTCTTCATAGCTTTGACCGAGAGATGGTGTTCAGGTAGGGGTCCCGGGCGGGATTCCCAAGTCATGAAGGAGCTGCGTGACAACAAACACAATTCACCCGCTTGCCTTTATGTCGGCAGCATGTTCCCTTGCTGAGGAGGGGGTGTCTTGTTTTTAGAGCCAAGCTGAAAGAGTGATGGTTCTAGAATCGGACAACATTTGGAATGGTGTGGACAACGTAAGAGGAGCGAAGCAGCTCCATCCCTCTAAGTAGTAGTGACATGGGATCATCATATGGATTTGAGCAAGAAAACAAATACTTTTCCCACGCTGCATGATTTTCTGGATGGGGCTGTATTCTCTCTAGAAAGATAGCCCCACAGCTTAGGGATGCTCCTGGGTTCAGCTCTGTGCCTGCAAGCCCAGGTTTTTGTGCAGTGCCAGGAGTGCCTCTGAACAGTTAAAACTGGTGCTTCAGCTGCACCAGTTCTTGGAGAGGTCTAATCTGGTCAGTGTCACTTGCCTGAGTTACATATGAGCAGGATTACTGGAATGTGCTCTCTGTGGACCTGTACTGTGCTGTATAAAAAATCTCAATATACAGTGGTTAAACTGCAGTACTGCAGTCAAGACTCTGTCCATCACTTGGATTCAATCACAACAGGCTCAAGGTTGGTTCAGCCTTCCAAGGTCACTAAATTGAGTACCCATTTCCCTGGAGGGGGAGGCAATCTTTAGCTTGTATAATTAAATTGTAAGCCACCCAGAGAGTGCTTTAAGCACTATTGTTGTTGTTTAGTCATTGTTAAGTCGTGTCCAGCTCTTTGTGACCTGATGAACCAGAGCACGCCCAACCCTCCTGTCTTCCACTGCCTCCCAGAGTTGGGTCAAATTCATGTTGGTAGCTTTGATGACACTGTCCAACCATCTCATCCTCTGTCATCATCTTTTCCTCTTGCCTTTCCCAACATCGGGGTCTTTTCCAGGGAGTCTTCTCTTCTCATGAGATGGCCAAAGTACTGGAACCTCAGCTTCAGGATCTGTCCTTCCAGTGAGCACTCAGGGTTGATTTCCTGCAAAATGGATAGGTTTGTTCTCTTTGCAGTCCAGGGGACTCTCAAGAGTTTCCTCCATCAACACAATTCAAAAGCATCAATTCTTCGGCAGTCAGCATTCTTTATGGTCCAGCTCTCACTTCCATGCATCACTACAGGAAAAACCATAGCTTTGGCTATGCGGACCTTTGTTGGCAAGGTGAGGTCTCTGCTTTTAAAGATGCT